TTTTTGTGGTACTGGGGATTGAACTCAGGACCTTGCGCTTGCCAGGCAAGCACTTATTTTACTGAGCTATCTCCCCAGCCCCAAAACACTAATTTTTGATTGAATTTTTTTCTTTACAAAGAGATACAAATCTTGGGCCGGGGAGGCAATCTAAGCACCTGCCTGGCAAGAGCAAGAACCAGGTTTCGACCCCCGGTACCACAAGCCATGCGGCCCCATGCCAGGTGGGCCACAGAGACCCAGCATGGTGGTGCACGCCTGTAATCCCAGTGCTGGGGAGGCTGAGCTAGGAGGGTCACTGTGAGTCCCAGGTGCCTAGCAAGCCCTGTGCCAAATAAAGTATTTTTAAGAGATAAAAATTTGTTATGTTTTTTTTTTCTTGCACTTGCAGGCTCATTTTGATTGTCTTCATATGTCTGCCTAAGTATTTACATCTGTTAACTAGAGGTTTGTCAAGTACAAAAGGTGTTTCATGAGATAAAGGGCTGGTTCACTGGAACCTCAAAGAGGTAGGTGTTTGCTTTTTTATTTTTTAATCTTTATTTATTTGGTACAGGGTCTCATTACTCAGCTCAGACTCATAATGATCCTCCTGTTTTCAGCCTCCCCAGCGCTGAGATTACAGGCATGCACCACCATGCCAGGTTTTGATGACCTACAAGGCATGCCCCGGGGCGGGGCAGCACAGCATGTGGTCCAGGATTGAACTCAGGTCCTTGTGCTTGCCCAGCAGGGACTTAGACTACTGAGCTATCTCTCAAGCCCGACATTTGCTCTTTTTTTTCAAGCTAACTGTGTTATTCTGAAGGCAACCAAAGTGCTTTATATGTAGTTCCCCCTTTCTCACTCTGAATAGTAAGATGGATATTCAAATTTAAAAATAATGTAATTAAGAATTTACTGATTATTTAATGAGATTCTGAAATGAAATGTTTTTCAATGAGTGCTCAGTGATTAAGAATAAAATATGTATTTTTATAAGGTTAGTGCTAATGCCTTGATTCGTGTTAAGGCTCCAGTAGCTTTATGCACCTTTCCTTTTGCATTGTCAGAAATACTCATGCAGCAAGAATTGATATTATGTTGCTATTATTAGTATAGTTTTGTTATTATGAGACTCTTGACTGTTTTGAGGATACCTCCAAAAATTTGCAGACTACATTCTGCCACCAAAGAATAGAGACTACAGTTTTTTGGAGGTTTTTTTTTTGTTTTTGTTTTTGTTTTTTTTTGCCAACTGGGGATTGAACTCAGGACCCTGCGCTTGCCAGGCAAGCACTTATTCTATTGAGCTATCTCCCCAGCCTCCAATCTTGTATTAACATGATTCAAAACTTGATGTCAGTTTAAACAGTAATTATTCTCATTTTATAGGTAAAGAACCTGAATTCTAGGGAATGAAATGTATTGACTCCAAACCAAAAAGTTGTTAGGTTGTATTTTCAATGTAAAGCCTGAATATGCTAGTCCTGATCAATATTTTTGAAATATGTTATAATACAATGTAAGTTACACACCTTTTGAAGCTCTAAACATCCTCGATACCAACATCAACTTTCCAGTTTTTGTAGTGTACTGTAATTATGTAAGAGACGCCCAAAAGGGAAATCTAAGTTAATGGCACAAAGGAGTGTGCTACTGTCTCCTTAACTTCTTGGGAATCTATAATTATTTTAAAAATAAATATCAGAAATTTTTACATGCTGTATGATTTCAATCAGATAAATTGTTGCACAATGACAAAATTATAGAGATAAAGACAGGCTAGTGGTTGTCAGGAATGGTGGAGGTATAGAGAAATGGTTATGTTTTCTAACTAGATATTACAAGGGACCTTATGGTCACAAAACAGTTCTGTATCTTGACTGAACAGTTCTGTGGTAGTAACACCAGTCTACCCATGATAAATCTCTCTCTCTCTCTCTCTCTCTCTCTCTCTCTCTCACACACACACACACACGTCTAAAAACCTTGTGAAATCTGTAGTATCTATGTGGACTATACCAATATCAGTTTCCTGGTTTGTTATTGTACAATTAGTGTGCTAAATATTACTATTGGACCATAGGTGCAGGATACAGAGGACCTCTCTCGACTTTTAATTTTTTTTATTTATTTATTTTGGTGGAACCGGGGATTGAACTCAAGCCCTTGCTCTTGCCAGGGAAGTGCTTATTCTACTGAGCCATCTCCCCAGCCCCTCGACTATTTTTTAATTTTAATTTTTTAATCATTTACTTACTTATATATTTATTTGGTACAGGGTCTCGCTACACAGCTCATACTCCTAGTAATCCTCCTGTTTCAGCCTCACCAGCACAGGGATTACCGGTTTGCGCCACCACGTGTCCCATAGGGAAGAGGGAGGCGGACAGAGAGAAGTTGGAAACAAAATATAGAGATTTAAATATTACTCATCATTTTTTTTTCTCCAGAGGCAAAAATATTTCACTTTTTAAAAAAATTTTCATTGTTACACCCTAATCTCTCATTCATTTTAATAAAGTCAACATTGTAATGGGATACAGAACGATATGGAGGAAACAGGAAAGATGTGATGAACAGGGAAACCTGTTCAGAGGTAAACTGATAAAATCCTAAACCTGCGAGCGCAAGTGCTGCCGGGAGGCGGCTAACGGCGCGGCGTGAGGAATTCTGGGAAGCGGTCCAAGGCCCAGACGGCACGCCGGCGTCCCCGCCGGCCTCGGCTTGGAGTGCGAGTCCGGTTTGCGGCTGGCGTCGTCGCGTCCCTGGGCCATGGCTTCCCGCTACGATCGGGCAATCACTGTCTTTTCCCCCGACGGGCATCTCTTCCAGGTGGAGTACGCTCAGGAGGCGGTGAAGAAGGGGTCCACCGCGGTGAGCAGCAGCGTCCGCCGCGCCCCTGCCCCGGCCCGGGGCCCGAGCCCCCCTTGGGGCGAGACGGATCCGGCCTGCCTGCCAAAATTTCTTTTTTTTTTTTTAATAGAAGGGGTTACTGCTTCATAAATGGGTGCTGGAAGCTGTAGGGTGAAAGTTGATAGATACTGACTTCTGGCTTTTTATTTTTTGTTCGTTCTGTTTTGTCTTTAAAGTGTATTTTGTTGTTGCAGGGTCTCACTATGCTGCTCGGATTCATGGTGGTCCTCCTGCTTTCAGCCGCCCCAGCGCTGGGATTACAGGCGTGCGCCACCGCGCCCAGACTGTGGTTGGCCCAGCCCGATCTGGGTGCGGCGCTGGCGTGGCAGGTGGTGCGGGGGATCGAACCCGGTGCCCTGCGCTTGCCTAAGCGTGCTTAGCAGACGCTTTAGTCCTCTGAGCCATCGCACTGGCCCTTTCCTTTTTTTTCTTTTTCTTCGGTTTTGCAACTTCCTTTGCTTAAAGATGGCCACAGACACAAAATTGGGTGGTGTGTGTGTCGAAGCCTTGACTCTGTAAGATCATTTTATGCTGTGCCCGACAAGAAAGATTATGTAGCACAACCCACTTGAGTGTTCATGGCCCACTTCCTTAGGAAGTCACATAACTGTGGAAAAGGTGACACAGTTCTTTCATGTTGGAAACTATTTTATTTTTATTTTTCTCTTGGCGGTACCACTTATTGAACTCAGGATCTTGCGCTTGCTAGGCAGGTGCGTATGTCGCTGAGCTATATCCTTTGCTGGAAACCATTTTTTAAATTTTTATTTATTTATTTATTTTTTCAGTACTGGAGATTGAACTCAGGACCTTACACTTGCCAGACAATCGCTTATTCTTCTGAGCTATCTCTCCAGTCCCTTGGAAACCATTTTTTAACTAATAATTTTGATAAAAATTAAAATCAGCGAGACCTGCCTTGAATTATAAAGTGGTCAATGTAATGATTTGATGCTTGTTATTCAGGAAACGATTAAAAAAGTTACTCCAAACACACCTGTTAAAAAATGTCTACAATTCCCACCCCAATGTCTGTTGGCCTCTTAGAAGCCCAGAACCCAAGAATTTCTACTCTGCTGCTACTTTTTGTTTGGTTTGATTTGGTTTTGAAGCAATACTGAAAGTTTTATAAGAAATGATTCTCAACTTTTAGGCTTACATATGCACATAACTGAAAAACTTTTAAATACTCAAGGTAGTTGTAATACTACTGCCAAATTTTAACTACATCCAATAATCTGTGATTTATGAAAATTAAAAAGGACAAAGGTGCCCTAGTGACCAAAGATCTATTACCCCAAGTTTTGCAAGACCCAGCTTATGAACGCAAAACAATCTGATTTAAAAAAAAAAATACTAAATTTCATAAGCGTGCTTGTTGTGTATCCTGGAAATAGAGACAATAGCTGTGAAATACGCAGGCCATTTCTAGGTCCACAAACATCTGTATTTTTTCTGACTTCTTATACCAACTTCATAATGGCAGGAAATCCTCTCCTTGCATTATAAATCTATCAAATGAAAAGTGGCAGAAATAAAACACTGGGAAGTATCATTTTAAAAGTATTTTTCTATTTAATTGGGCCCACTAGTTTTGCTTCTGTTTTGTAAGTAATATTTTTGAATTGTAAATTGAAGAAAAGCCTGAGGTAGTGTAAACCAAAGGGGTACCATTTTGATAAAAACAAAAAGCTATATAATCCCCAGCTTGGCATGCAGCATATGGTTAGAAAATAATGCCCAAGTTTTAGAGCCTAAAATAAAGGGGGTAATGGGAGAAGGCAGGGGTATAATAAGAAACCACATTGTCTCATTTAAAATGTTTTAAGAGTGTTATACAACTGATTGATAGTTCCTTTGTAATGAGCTGTAAAAGGGTAAGAGTATAAAAATACCTACAGTGGGCATTTTTAAAGATACATTGGAAAGAGGAGACTTTGGTCTCAAGAATCTGAAATTAATTTGCATCTTTTATGGAGTTACTCATTGTGTTTCTGTGAGGGTGCTCTGACCTTTTACATAGGGTAAAGTTTATACTGGCGCTTGTAAATTACAAGAGTTGGTAAGATAATACATCCGTGAGGAGTTGATGTGATGAGGTGCAAATAGGCCAGGCTTGACCAATTTTGACCCGTATGTTGATGTGCTGTTACCTAGTGATTGGAAATGTTACATGAGCCATAATTATTGGGCTTGGGTTGTACTTTTTTTTTTTAGCAATTATCTGACAACATAAAATAGGGCCAGAAGGATGTTTTGCTTTTGGTTTGGGTTCTTTTTCTATAAATGCATGTGTTTGAATAATATTTTAGAAAGGTAATGCATTTCTTAGGGAAAAGAATAACAATGTTCTCATGAAAAAGATAAAATTTAGTATCATTACTCTTTGTTCCTCTTTAACCTCAAAATCTTCTCGGCTGTAGATTCCCTGCCTTACCAGATCTTAGCACCACAGGCTAGCCGTCCAAGTCTTTCGTGTACACTCTTCAATTAAGGTGGTTAACTGGTTTCACTAATACATGATTCTAGCCATGTAAGGGGAAGAGGGAAAAATGGCTCTCTTTCTCCTGCTTGACACCTTACTTATCCAGGTAGGTAGGTAGGTAGGTAGGTAGGTAGGTAGGTAGGTAGACAGACAGACAGACAGACAGATTTTTTTTTCAAAGCCAGGCACAAACTATGTCACTGAGCTACATCTCCATCCCTTTACGTTTAAGTCACGTTTCTTTCTTTCCTTTGTGAAATGTTTCTAATCTACTCCAGTCTATGGGTCTTTTTCTTATGATTTAAAATTCCCTAATAGAGTATTTGGTAATATTCATTATTTGGTACCATATTCTCTCTCTCTCTCTCTCTCTCTCTCTCTCTCTCTCTCTCTCTCTCTCTCTCGGATTTTAGGGAAGGGTCTATAGTGTGTTCAGGGTCTCACTACTAGATCAGACCCTAGTGATTTGCCTGTTTACAGCCTCCCAAGAGCTGGGATTACAGGCGCACACCACCACACCCAGTCTCAATTGCCATCTCAGAGTGCCCTGGGAGTGGGGCCAACACGGTAGGCCCGGGGATCGAACCCCTGGCCTCTGTGCCTACTTGGCAGACCCATTAATCTGCTGAGCTATTTGGCTGGCCCTCCATATTCTCTTTAATATTCCTCTTATCCTATCTGTATAGTAAGGTTTTCTAGGATCCAAATGGCATAATTCCTGTTTTGTACTTCTGCCACACAGACTATGGAGGAGGTGCTAGGAAAGAAGTGTTATTTTATAAATTATTATATATATTATTTAGTATTAGGGACAGCGTTTAATCCCTTTTTCCCATATGTAGAGCCTATAATTTGAAAGCTTTCATAGCTTGTGAATATACTCAGCGAGAAAAGTTATAGAGCTCATATTTGTGTATACATTTTTCCATCTCCAAAGGCTCTACTCTGAATTACACCATGTAGTTTTCTCAATAAATATTGTATATTAACCAGTTGTCATTATCGTGTATGTGGAAATAGATGTGTCACTGGAGAAAACTAAGTTCTCTAAGCTTCAGTTTATTTACTAGTGAATAGGCATTATAATATACCCATTTCATAGGGTTGATAAAAAATTGAGTGAAGTATTAATACATTTTGAACATGCTTCATGGCATCCAGTTCAAAGAAAATACTTAATAAGTTATTTGCATCGCACTCTTTCAGGTGACTCTTGCAATTAAGACACTCCTGTTGTTTCACCACTGTTGGTATTTTCCTTGCCTTTTGCATTTCTGTCCTTTGCTTAGACTCTGGGGAATGGGCTTCCAATGAGCCAGTACCTGAGTAGCTATTTTTCTAGAATTCTGCTCTTCACATTTTCATTGAATGGATGTCTAAAGAAAGCCTTTTCCTTTAGCTCATGTATTAGACAATGAGTCTGTTTTAGGTTTCAGATCATTATTCTTTTAATTATTTCACAGGTTGGAATTCGAGGTACCAATATAGTTGTGCTTGGGGTAGAAAAAAAGTCTGTCGCTAAGCTTCAAGATGAAAGAACTGTGAGGAAGATTTGTGCTCTTGATGACCACGTTTGCATGGCTTTTGCAGGTACCTATGGATGAAAATGATGGTGCTTCATGGCTAGCCCGACCCCCTCAGTTTTGCTTCTGTAACATATATAGTTATACTCCACTCTTAGTGAAAGCAGCCTATTTTCCAAAGTAAGCCACAGCGCTCTATAAACAGATTTCTGATGAACTTTGGAAATAAGCCATACACATTAAAAGATGTGTATTAGCTTACTGTACTTATAACCCTATGCAGTTATTTTCTTAAAAAAAAAATTTGTAGGGCTGGCCAAGTAGCTCAGCAGATTAACGTGCCTGCAAGCAGGTGCAGGGCCTGGGGATTTGATCCCCGGACCTGCCCTGCTGGCCCCACCCCCTGGGCAAAGGCAATTGAGACTGGGCATGGTGGCGCACTCCTGTAATCCCCGCACTTGGGAGGCTGTAAACAGGAGGATCACTATGAATCCGATCTAGTGGTGAGACCCTGAATACCCTGTACACTCTTCCCTAAAATACGAAAAAAAAATTGTGTGTCTGTCTCTGTGTATTTGTTTTGGCAGTGCTGGTGATAGAATTTAGGGTCGTGGACATGCTGAGCAAGAGCTCTACCACTGAGCTACACCCCTGCTCCTAAACTTTTATTCTGAAATAATATTCACAAAGATATGTTACTTTTTATAGAGTCACAAGAAATATATTCTTATGTTTCTTTAACTTTGAATTATATTTTCATTGTAAAGAAGAGATACTTTATGATATTTTATTATGTCATATTTTCATTTCCTTCTCTCTTATTTTGGTACCAGGATCGAACTCAGGACCTTGTGCTTGCCAGGCAGGTGCTGTGCCACTGAGCTATATCCCTGACCCTATCATGTCATATTTATAATTGAAATTTTAATCCATCAGGTAGACTTAAGTCAGTATCTTGCCATTTCTTTCTCTTCTATAACATTTGCAAAGAGAAAAAAAAATAATTTCTCTTCCAGTTGAGTATCTGATTGGAATTAGAACCCCCCAGGACTGTTATACTGATCAAAAAATAGTGGCATATTCAGACAATTTTTTAATATTTGACTAATACTCCCTTCAGGGACTAAAGTGTCCTCCAGGTTTGTAGAAATAGAATTGAAATGATGAATGGAATTGATTTTGAGAGAGTAAAATCTGATGTAAGAGATAACTATGTTTCCAAAATTTAATGAATGGATGTCTTGTCTATCTAGTTAGTCTTAAGAGAACAGGGAAGGAAGCAAATGGCCAGAGAAAAGTCATGTGCCAAGGTCCTCAATACAGATGTGTCCAGCCGCTGCTTCTGTCAAAGGATATGGTCAGTTTATTACTCTTTTGCTAGGACACCTTCTGTCTCCTTATGGAAGTGTGGAGAATGATGCACAAGATGTTCAGCAAGATCCAATGTCTGGGGCTGGAGAGATGGCTCAGTGGTCTAAAGCACCTACTTGGAACAAGCTCGGCAAAGCACAGGGACCGCGGTTCGATCCCCCAGCACCACATGCCAGCCAGCCGCGCCCCCTGGTGGGTTGAGCTGGACACACACACACACACACACAATAAATAAATGTTAAAAAAAAACTTATTAAAAAAAAGAAAATCCAATGTCTTCCTCTTCTATTTTAACATTCTTGCTTTTCCATGATGGGTCTCAGACTAAAAACTCCTGAGATGTAATGGTTTTATTAAATGAAGCTTAAATTCAGTGGATGCAAGTCTGACAATGAAGTAACACTTATTTCATAAAAAGAAAGCCAGTTCACTACTGGTGCTTAATCTGTTAGTCTTTAAAATCATTTTCTTGAAAAAATATATTATAAAGTAAGTCTTCAGAGGAAATAAATCCAGATTTAGGAGAAAAACACAATTCCTTCATAAGGAGAATGTGTTGCATGTGGAGGTGTTATAAGAAAGATTTGATGATGGCTGAAACCCTTTTAACAAGGAAAAATGTATTGTGGAAAATATATTTTCATAAAGGTTTGACTGTTTCCCAGGCCTGACTGCTGATGCTAGAGTAGTGATAAACAGAGCCCGGGTGGAGTGCCAGAGCCATAAGCTCACAGTGGAGGACTCGGTCACCGTAGAATATATAACTCGCTTCATAGCAACCTTAAAGCAGGTAAGCGATAGCCTAGCAAATTTTTTTTAAGGTTTTACCTTTACTATCATTATACATTCTATTGTAGAAATCATACAATCACTTTCAGTGTTCAGTCTGTAAGAACCACTGAATTCTTTATTTATGCATCTATTGATGTATATCTAGCCTATTTCCAAGATTTACCTATTACAAATTGTGCTTGCAGAAACACGGGCATGCATATATTGCTGTGTTATGATGCTGTTAACTCTTGGGAGGATACCAAGAAAGGGAATAGCTAGGTAAATGGAGCCTCTAATGGAGTAGGGCTACTGTGCCATGAAAGAGGGGTGAACCGGAGATGTTTTTAGCTAAATGGATGCACCTTCAGACTGTGCTTTTAAGGGAAATAAGCAAATATGTTGAAATATTGTAGTGTCCATCTTTTGTGAGATACCAAAAGCATAAGTAAGGACAAAAATGGGCAATAGATACTGGGAAGTAGGAAGAAATGTTCACATGGGAAGGTGAACAAGGAAGGGGGATGGGGAAGAGAGGGAAGGATGGGGAAAGAAAAAGAAGAGAAAAATGGGTGAGGAGCTTTTGTAAGTGGAGAGGGGAAAGGGGTTGAAGAGTGGGGAGGGGAAATAATTAAGACATATTATGTACAGATACACACTCCGTATGATGAATGTGATCAGTATGCAGGACAAATATGTACTAATTTAACAACAGAAAAAGAACCTACTGACAGGTACTTTCTAGAATTTTCTGTTGGCTGTTGGGCGGGGGCAAAACCAAAAGAAAACTAAGGAATTTCTTATTCTTTCTCACAGTTGCATCATAATTACACTCATTCAAGTAGAATGGGTTGATTTATTAGAAGTTTCAGGTTATATATAATGTAAAAATAACAAATCTTTTACAGAAATTTCTATTCTTCTAGAAATACAATAATTCTTTAAAATTTTCAAAAGAAATTAACATTATTTTATCTATAAATTTAAACACAGTTGATCAGGTTTATATATGATTTCTTCTGAATCCATGCATGGATACATGGCTGAATATTTAAATATAATGGACATTTACAGAGGTATTATGTTAAGCTCATTTTGTATGTACTTTATATATGGCAGCATCATCCTTATTCTTTTACTGCATTAGACTGTTCAGAGTTACTATCTGAAGTTGTACAGTGTCTCTAGTTTGTTTAATATTCATTTTTATTCTCTCTGCTTTCCTAATAACATTATCTTGGTCATGGCTTTCACTTTTCCTTTTTGAATGGTATTCTCAAATTAATTTTTAATAAGGGATTACAAGATTAGAGATTGTAATTGATTCTATGGCTCTAGTTACATGTAGATAACTTGCTTCCTAGAAAGATTGAATAAATTTTGCTATGCAACTAGCTATCCCTGATGAACCATCAACACTGAGTTTTCCATTTTTATTTTGCCAAGTAAGTATTATATAGTGCTATAGTAGTTTTAATTAATTAATGAGTTTTATAATTAATGAGTTTGAGTTTTTCCGCATGTTAGTTTGATATTTCTTTCTCCTAAAGTGAAATATCTTTTCACAGGCAACAAGCTTTTAAGAGTCCGCCAGTGACAGCCAGCAGTTGGCTCTCTGAGTCCTGACTTTGCTGCTTCTCAGTTGGTGCTTCAGAAAAACGCCTTAGCCTACTTTTGCTTCCATTTTCTTACATATGAAATGAACATTATAATAATGTCTATAGCTACTTGGTTGGATTGCACTATGGATGAAATAATTTACTCCATTTCAAGCATGTAAAATACTTTCTGGCATAGATTTGTGGAAAGATTTTTCATAAACTTTTCATGTTCTAGACACTACAGTTTGACTTAACATTTTTTTTTCTGTATTTTAGGAAAGGGTCTACAGGGTGTTCAGGGTCTCACTACTCGATTGGACTCATAATGATCCTCCTGTTTACAGCCTCCAAAAAGCTGGGATTACAGGCACATGCCACCATGCCGAGTCTTAATCACTGTCTCAGTGTGCCCCGGGGGTGTGGCCGCATGGCAGGGCCAGGAATTGAACCCCCAGCCCCTGTGCCTGCTTGCAGGCACTTTAATCCACTGAGCTATTTGGCCAGTCCTGACTTAACAAATTTGTTTCTATTTTAAATTTAATTCATGTTGAAAGAAAGTAAAGTATTTTTATGTTATCCTACTTTTCTGGTTGTTGTTGTTTTTTTTTTTTAGCTGATTTTCCCAGTTGTTAAAAAGGCATCCACCAAAAAAAAAAGGGGGGGGGGACAATAGTGTATATACAAAATTCTTATGGTGCTGACAGCTTTGTGGAAGCAGCCACTTAAAGAACTGAGCTAGGGCCAGGCCCCCTATTCTAGAAATATTAAAGCTATGCATATAATAGTTTTGGAAACACAGTTGTGAAGCTGCAACAGTGAGATTATCCTGAGGAGGCCTTATACTCCAAGACAGAACATTGATATCTTATATGCATCTTTTGTTCTTTTAAATCATTTCAACCCTATGCACATATTACTGTTTTTCTTTGTATATTTAGTACAGGGTCTACAGGGTCTCACTACGTAGATCAGACTTACAGTGATTTTCCTGTTTTTAGCTTCCCAAGCGTTGGGATTACAGGCACATGCTACCACGCCCAGTCTCAGCATGCCCCAGGGGTGGGGCTGGCCCGGCATGCCAGGGATCAAACCCAGCTGCTGTGCTCTGCCTAAGCAGGTGCTTTAGTCTGCTGAGCTATCTTGCTGGCCCTTTTGCATGTGTGTGTGTACTTTTTTATTTAAGAGAAGTATATTGAGGGCTGGGAAGATATATCAGTAGTCTAAGTGCCTGCCTGGCAAGCACAAGGACCTGGGTTCAATCTCTCGGACCACATGCTGTGCCAGTCCCAAAACTGGGCATGATGGTGCAAACCTGTAATCCCAGCACTGGGGAGGCTGAGACAGGAGGATCACTATGAGTCTGAGCTGTGTAGTGAGACCCTGTACCAAATAAATAAATAAAAGATTTTTGAAAAAAGACTGAGCAAGTAAAGTAAAAATATCTTTCACCAAGTCATTTTAGCTAATACCTGAAAGAGACTATTTATATACATTGCTCAAGTGTTTACATTCGAGTTTGGAAATGGCTCATAAAAATTTATATGATAAAATTGAAAAATGAAATAGATATATACATCAACAAGACCAGGAAGTAAGGTGCATCAAGCCAGAGTTACATACACCGTTGTGTGTAGCCATCGAGTTATGCACAGTTACCTGAAGTTGCCTACATATGAGTCTGTTGCTTTGTGTCAGTGCTTCCTCATTACATGACCTCAGGGAGCTCTAGTCTCAGTGTGAATTCATGCCTTGGAGTACAAGCCAGGAAGTTCTCTGACACTAAAGTAATAGCTACCATTGGCTTCCACTGGCCCATTATCTATGAGGAAAAAAGTATGCTTTTTCTTTAAGAGAACCAAATCATCCTTTTTTGGAGGACTGAAAGAAGTGTCTCACTTAGATTTTTAAGTAGCAGCAATTTAGTTGATAGTTAGCAGAATCTATTTGATAATAAAATATCAACTAAGAACACTTAACAATAATAGTAACAATTAAAGTATTCCTCAAAGCAAACCAAGCCTATGCTTCCAAAGCACATTAACTGAAATCAGTTTTGTTGAGAAGCAAAAGGGTATGGTATAGAGTTATTTACTTGTCTTAGTTACTTTTCTCTCTCACTGGGATAAAATACCCAGCACCCAATATTAAGGAAGGAAAGGTTTGATTAGCTCACAGTTTGTGGAGGGTTTGTTCCATAATCAGCTGGCTCCAAGGCAAGGTGCCACATGGCACGGTCAACAGTTCGTGGCAGTGGAAGACAGCAAAAGCAGCAAGAGCAAAAAGGGAGGGGCTGGGGAGATAGCTCAGTGGCAAGCGCAAAGTCCTGAGTTTAATTCCCTGTGCAAAAAAAAAAAAAAAGCAAAAAATGAGCATCAGAGAGCAAGCCTTTTTCCCTGCCTTACACCCCAGGGCAGGTGTAGCACTCACACCCGTGATTCCTGCATTGGACCATGAATTAGTCACAAGTTTTAAAAGCATACCCCATGACTGCATGAGGCTTTGAGGGGACATCAAGGCACATAACACTACTGTGTTAAAGAAATTACAGTCTAATTATATTACCAAATAGACACAAAACAACAGAAAAATATTTTAAAACTACATGCAAACAAATTTGTCATTTTACATATTGTATATAAGAATTTTCTAAAAATTTCAATGTGAGTTGTGGTTAGTGTAGGAAGGATTGTAATAGCATGTAAAAGAAGAATCAGGAAAGTAGATTTTTTTTTTTTTCAGAGCCAGGGATTGAACTCAGGCCCCTGTGCTTGCCAGGGAAGCACTTCTTCTACTGAGCTATCTCCCTGGCCCCAAGTAGATCCTTTTTGATACCCAGTGCTTTACTATTACAATGTGTATTTGATAAGCAGTAATGTTATCCTAAAGCTAAATTTTACTTTTCAGAAATATACCCAGAGCAATGGACGAAGACCTTTTGGCATTTCTGCCTTAATTGTAGGTTTTGATGATGGTGGTATCCCAAGATTATATCAGACAGATCCCTCGGGTACTTATCATGCTTGGAAAGTGAGTCATACATTTGTTAATGTTTTTAGAAGTTGGATTAAAGTTTTCACTGTAAATGTTTCTTTGTTTTCCAGGGATGTGACAAAATTATGTAGTAGTAAAATATTGATCATGGCACAAGTGATAAAAAGGTAGTTATGTACTTAGTGAGAGATGATGATGATTTGGAAAGTGAATACCTTGGTGCTTATTATTGCGGGATCTTTACTTTTGAAAAGATGTGACAAGCCTAAGTGTCTATAACAGGCCACACGATAGAAATGCTATCCAGTGCCTGTTCAATCTAAATTCATCCAAATTAGTTTTACATCATGTAGCTGCTTGCTTTGAGTAGAAATTGTCCTTTTGCTTTTAGTAAAAAAGACTAGATGTTGCAGACCAAAATTAGAGAAAAAGGAGGGATACAAGGAAAGCCAACATTTTGGCCCTAGCCTTCTAAGGTCAGTTAAGACTCAGGACATATGAGAACTTGTACTGTAACGTCATGTACCTCGGTAGTGCCCCAAATTTTCTGATCAAGAAGATTATGGGGCCAAAGAGGAAAGTGATCGATGACGTAGAGTGGGCCTAAGGAGAGTCACATGGGGAGAAGACACTCTCTCAGGCTTTCACAGAGAGCACATTGGCCAAGCAATGGCCGTGACTCATCCACATGGCTGCACTGATAAAGGTTCTACAATCTGAGGTACAGGATCTCAGGACAAATCCTGAGGGCATTTCACTGACCTTCTCAGACCAAAAAGCTACAACTCTTGTTGCATAGGTCCTGCTTTACCTTGGTCTTACCCATCCAGTAGAAAAGTATGAAGTCGAAATATAAGAAATAAAGCCATGCTGTTAAGTTGAGCTGTGGGGGACTCAGGTCAATAATTTCTGACATTGCCAGTTAAACAGAAGACCCAATGCTATTATAGGCTACTGGACTCTTTTAGAATATTTTGCTGAGTTTACACACCTATAATATTCAATAACGGAACTTAGAAAAAATGGGGTATACCGATGAATGTCCATTTTGTATCTGTGTATTCAAAGAGGTTGGGATAGATATATAGTTGCATTCTCTTAATGAATAGAATGATTTGTTCTAATGGTGTTTGTAAATAGGATCACGAGTCCGCATCTTGTACAGCAATTAACCACTAAGAAGAATATATGCAGTGTATTATTTGTTGAAACTGTACTTCCGATTTGATTTGAAACTGTCTCATTGCTATCTATTTATCAATAAAACTTTGAAAAAAAAAAGACTAGATGGGAACTTAAGCCCAACACGGCAATATTAGTCTAGGAGAGGCGGAGCGCTGCACACTGTGACATACACTTGTGTGTTAGAATAGAGCAGTGACGGCAAACCTATTAGAACTTACAGTGATGCCGACAGCCTGCTGGGGCATGCAGGCTATAGGTTTGCCCCACTGGTATGTAGCAGTGATCTGTATGTAATTCAGCAAGCTTTTCTTAAAGAATTATTACTCTTGTTTCAGTATTCAGCTACCTACTTTGTCTAATGGTGCACTGAAAGCCAGTATAAAGTCTAGGATTCAGAGAAAATAGTGAGTTTCTAAAAGTAAATGCTTTCTTTAAAAAAAAAAATATCAGTATGTTCTCAGTATTTAGTGATTACATGTCTCATGGGGAGTTGGTGATAACACGTCTTACTTTTCTTCCATCTTCTTCCCCTTGCCTCCCTCTCCCTTCCCGCCACCTCTCACTCTCCTTTCCACTTATAAGAGATCAATCTCCTTATTGTATTTTTGTTTAATATGTAGCCTTCAAATAAGTTCGCTGTTAAGAGTCAAATAAGTTAGCGAGGAAGTGTTGTGTGGTATTTCTGCCTGTGTTAAATAAAGATCTGATTTGAAGCCAACCTGGTGGGATAAGCCTGTCATGCTAGCACCTTGTGAGGTGAGACCACAAGAAGTTCAAGCCCAGCCTGGGAAACTTTGTAACTTACCCAGACCCAATTCCAAAATAAAAAATAAGAACTGGTAGGGTATTTTACTTAGTATAAAGGCCCTGGATTTGATCTTCAGTGCCACTACCAACAAACAAGCAGGTAAGATTTTATTTGTGCTGATCATACTTATAAAATACTATTTCATAGGGCTAGGGAGATAGCTCAGCAGTCTAAGCACTTGCCTGCCAAGTACAAGGACCCTGGTTCAATGCCCAGCAACACGTGCTGTGCTGGCTGCGAATGCTGGGTGTGCCATGCTGGCGCCAAAAACAGGCATGGTGGTGCACACCTGTAATCCCTGTGATGGAGAGGTGAGGCAGGAGGATCACTATGGATCTGAGCTGTGAGACCCTGTATCAAATAAACAATTTTTTAAAAATATTATTTTATGAACTATTTAACCAAGCCAGTTGAACAGTGGGTTATGTTCTTTTTTTTTTTTTTTTTTTTTTTTTCTGAATCAGGACAGGATCTATGGGGTCTACAGGGTCTCACTACATAGATCAGACTTGTAGTGATCCTCCTGTTTTCAGCCTCCCAAGTGCTGCGATTACAGGCGCATGCCACCATGCCCAGTCTCAATTGCCATCTGAGCATGCACAGTGGGCAGGGCCGGCACAGCATGCCAGGGATCGAGCCCTAGCCACTGAGCTCTGCCTGAGCAGGTGCTTTAGTACACTGAGCTATCAGGCCAGCCCTTGAACATTTAAGTTTTTTTGGTTTTGTTTTGTTTTTTTGGCTGGCTCAGGCTGCCTTAAGGGTTGGTCTAGCAAGGTATATGGTGCTGGGGATCGAACTACCATCTCCTGCACCTGAGTGAGTTTGCCCAAACAGGCACGCTAGACAACTGATCTAGCCTGCCAGCCCTAGTGGGTTATAATCTTACAACAAATACCAGAATGCTTTTGCTAACCATACATCTTTTAATCTACTAGAAGGTATTGATTTACCTGCTACAAGCTCAAACTTCTTTCTTGTCAGTTAGAAACCTTTCACCTGTACTAGGTCTCTTCTGCTTCTGAAATCAATGGCCTAAACAAAATTATATTCAATCATTAAATAATTTGAAACTTGCCACCCTCTGGCATCATTTGTCATGACATTATCACTGTTCATTTCAGTATCATACCACAAATTCGAAGTTTATATAATTTTTCATTTTAATTTGGTTGCTCTCTGGGGAATATTTTTATTCTGTCTAATTTAGGGAAAATTATCACAGTTTTAGAGTGTTGGCAACTTCCTTGACATTCCTGGTCTGAACTCTGCACTGCTGTTTACCTTTGGGTTACGTGGTGGGCTCGAGAGATGTGGACAGCTCCCGTGCACACATGTGCAGTTGATGTGCCCACTACAGTCATCTTATGTGTTGTGCTTTCTTCTGAGATTTTAATTGAATAATTATGGAACTAAAGATGTTTGAAACCATTTCACATTTAGTCCAAAGATTGAAAGGTTAAGTGACTTTTTGTTTTGGCTCACAGCCTTCATTAATACGAAACCTAGAATTAAAATTAAGTAAATTCTGAGCAGTTCAGGATTTGAGAGGACACGTAGACATAGCCAGCACACATCCCCTGCTCCATGAGACAAAATCCAACAACTGGAGAGCAGCTGCTCACGTGCAGCACAGTTGTGAGGCTGGGAGAACCTAGAGTGTCTGAATAGCGGAACAGGCGGGACAGAGCTCCTCAGTACCAGCCGTGCTGCAGTGTAGGGAGGGCTGTAGGTAGGGAAGAGAGGGGAGACCCGCTGAACACACCTAGCACCGGAATTGGTACCATGCAGAAGAGCAATCTGAACATACCATGGATCTGGGATTTGCACTGAAAATGGCACTGAGAAATCACTGGACTTTCTAGCATGTACATTTAGTGCTGTGACAGGGGCAATCTAAAAGCCTTGTCCAGGCTTGCTGTTTTAGGAGGCAAGGGCCCCCGGAGTTGTCTGTCTCTAAAACCTTAACACAAACATTACTACCCTGATTTGGTGACCATTTGCCTTACAGTTCATTTAAAACCACATACAAGGGATTGGACCTTACTGTCTCTTTGAGATTAGTGTCTTGGAAAATCATCTGCAGGGGCTCAGGGGCCTAGGGAGGCACATGTGACTTCGCACAGGACCTAAATGTTGGAACATCAGAGCAGCGGGTAGCAGGTTGTGCGGACGTCATCTTCCCAATGGAGACAGTTGTAATTCCATAACCTCTTCTGCTCCAGAGATAGTCATGTCTAAAGGTATCAGAAGAGTGAGTGAGAGACCTGGGGCCCATGGAATCCTGAATAGACCAGGAACGCAGGTCTGGCGAGTGAGTGAGACGATCTGGGGCCCGCGGATCCTCATTCGACCCAGAGTGCAGGCCCACCACGGAACCCTTCAGCAGAACTCCCTGCAAGAGGCTAGAGACAAGACCCACCCAGCTGATTCAGGAACAGAACATCTTGCCACAGAGGGTTCAACTCTAAGGCCTGCAGCAGAAAGAAGTGGAGCACAGCA